AATAAAAATATATCAAATTTTACCGATATTTGGAATTATAGCGTAGAGCTCATTTCTTCCTGCACAGTTACCTTTGAAAAATTCTCAGTTTTCTTTCTTACCTAATGATAAAAAAAAAAGGTTTAACAATAATTACGCAAAAGTGCGGTAATCTTGAGGTCGTATAATGTTACAGTTGTGAATTCAATCATTGCGATGAATAAATAAGTATGGTTTATATTGAGGTTTAACAATAATTACGCAAAAGTGCGGTAATCTTGAGGTCGTATAATGTTACAGTTGTGAATTCAATCATTGCGATGAATAAATAAGTATGGTTTATATTGTAAAGATTCTTTTTAAACTCAAACGTAATGTACAGCAGTAAAAAAGATTGTAAGAACACTAGAATTTCCGTGGTACTTCATGTTTAGAAGTTGAAATCCCGAAGCGTTTTCTACATTCCGGGATTGTACTGGCTCAGATCCCTGGAATATGAGCGTGGGATTATACATATTTTATTTATTGGCGTTCTATTTTGTCTTAATCAAAAGTAATCAAAGTATTTGCATTCCGTATTTAAGTTAAATGATTAAAAGATAATGCAAACGCAAGAAATTAGTAAAACTCTAAGCGTTTATTTGAATAGCTTTGTTATTAAAATTGTTATTTTATCTTATGAACGCTTGAATCGGGTCCATTTTGTATGTGTGTCATCATCATCCAGCAAGAAAAGTCGTTCATATTAAGAGTGAATACAGGGAGATTTCTATTATTCTTGCCCCCCAGTGGCACAGCGATATGTCTGCGAACTTACAATGCTAGAAACCGGGTTTTGATACCCGTGATGGGCAGAGCACAGATAGTCCATTGTGTAGATTTGCGCTTAACTACAAACAAAACATCTATTATCTTTTAATTAATTTTTATCAAGACACCACAGTGGTTAAACATTTCTTTATACGCAGACAGAGGAGAAAAACAAATTACAGAAAATGATTTTGTGCAGTTTGTAACAAATAAAGAATATAAGAAACACACTCAGTCTGGAGTTGAAGGTATAACCTGTAGTCTGGGATGTCGACTGTCTCGCAACAATATTTTGGAAATTTCTCAACCTAAAAATGACACAAATACTAATACTAAATCAAAGTATACGAATTTTTCAAGACCGAGAAAGAAAAAAAAAAACAACCAAAAAACAAGGGGATGTCAGTGTCTCCCCTCCGGTCTGTAATAGACTCCCGAAAATCCCTAGATTTTCTACTATAAATCCTGAAATTTGGAAAGCCATATCAGAATATGAGATCCTTCAAGTCTAAACAATGTTGGGGATGTTTAAACTGTCTTATATTAAGTTACAGAACGTGTTTAATATTTACCAAAGAGAACGTATTCTAAAGAATTTTTCAGTGTTATCAAAATTTATCACACCTCCAACAGTATTCGATACACAACCTTTTATGAACCTGCTTTACAGTGATTACAAGTTAATTAAGGTGATTTGAAACTTTGCTGAAATCCTTATTTCAAGAATAGTGGCATTTCAACGTCCACCATTGCTCATTAATATTTTAACAGAATTGTTTCCATTAGCTACCATATTATTCTTGTCATAAACAAACAAAATATAATCATTTCACATAAAAAGTATGAGAAATAAAACATAGAATATTATTACTCCTGCCAAGCAGCTGTGTTAAGGCATTTTTTCCCTTCTCGCTGCTTATACAACAAGACAATGTTCCATGATGATATTAAGGGGTATTTCAGAAACACATAATATTTATGGTGGTGTTAAGCGTTTTAGGTTAATACCAACATGGTGGTATTTGTTAAAGTTTTTCCTTTACAAGTAGTCTTATTGATGATGAGCATACACCGAAACATTATTACCGTAAGGTAACACGCAATCATCTTTGTTTAAAAATAAAATAAATATTTTACCTATGTTCATTCTAGTTTGATAATGTTTCACGACTGTTAACTACGTTCATTCTGGTATGATAACGTTTAACGACGGTTATCCATGTTCATTCTAGTATGATAACGTTTAACGATCATTAACTATGTTCATTCTGGTATAATAATGTTTAACGACGGTTAACTATGTTAATTATAGTATCATAATGTTTAACGACGGTTAACCATGTTCATTCTGGTATAATAATGTTTAACGACGGTTAACTATGTTAATTATAGTATCATAATGTTTAACGACGGTTAACCATGTTCATTCTGGTATCATAATGTTTAACGACGGTTAACTATGTTAATTATAGTATCATAATGTTTAACGACGGTTAACTATGTTTATTTCAGAATGAACATGGTTAACCGTAGTTAAACATTATTATACCGGAATGAACATGGTTAACCGTAGTTAAACATTATTATATCAGAATGAACATGGTTAACCGTAGTTAAACATTATTATACCGGAATGAACATGGTTAACTGTAGTTAAACATTATTATACCAGAATAAACATAGTTAACCGTCGTTAAACATTATTATACCAGAATAAACATGGTTAACCGTCGTTAAACATTATTATACCGGAATGAATGGTTAACCGTAGTTAAACATTATTATACCAGAATGAACATAGTTAACCGTCGTTAAACATTATTATACCGGAATAAACATAGTTAACCGTCGTTAAACATTATTATACCAGAATAAACATAGTTAACCGTAGTTAAACATTATTATACCAGAATAAACATGGTTAACCGTCGTTAAACATTATTATACCGGTATAATAATGTTTAACGACGGTTAACTATGTTTATTCTGGTATAATAATGTTTAACGACAAATCATCCCATATCTTCCCCAAAGCTTTTTGTGCGTACATTAGTATTTCAGCTATGAAAAAAACGAGATTTATGTAATTTAAACTTGTACGCACATTAGCTATAACCTTTTTACACCTGAAATATGTAGTTTTTATTTCCATCGTCATATATTATTTGGTTTTTCAATATAATTATTTTCACTTCCATTCAGAAATTTGTTGATTAGAAGGAATAAAATGTTGTATGTAATTGCTTATACATTCATTCATTGCCAGTTGTTTGAACTATCTTCAGAGTGTACATCATCCGCTCTGTCAAGTCACCTACAGATTTATCGGTTTTCTTCTGAGTTTATCACTAAGCACGGTGATGCTTAGTATGTAGGGATGGGCCGAGAAAAAAAATGGCTGCCGCATTCAATCTGTTACTCTATGATGCTTACAAATAACTGATAAACTAAAGTTATAGCCTTCTTTGAGCATCTAATTGCCATTATAGAGTGTTTAACAGCTTGTGAGACTCCAATATAATTGAAAAGTGGAGAATTGGGAACTAGCTAAAGTGTTCACTTCCATTTTTTCTTTTCCCACGCTACCCAAAAACTGTGAACTTTTCGCGATGGTTTTATACGAAATAAATGCATCTTAAGAGCACTTGGGAATAGATTATACTAGGCATGTTAATGCTTAGTATAAGCTAAAAAATCATAATTATAGTGTAAACGATGCAATCATTACCCCTTAAAGTTAGCTTTCGTACAGACATTCGGTGTTCCTTTATTAACCTTAAGAACAGGGTGAAATAAGAATTACCAGCCAACAGTAGAATAATGAATGCTTTGTACACTATACAATCTGTGTCTTTAGAAAGCCAACCCCTATATTACATATGAAGTGAAGGAGTAATAAAATCAATACACATAATATTAAATTTTATATCACACATTCATACAATAAATTAACTTTCAGTCAGAGAAAAAAAAACCGTAACAAAACAAGCAATAAGAAACATTTTGTAAATGTAAAATGATGTAGTGATGGCAGTGCTAAAAAGAATGCAAACATGAATACAGGGATGATACAGCTATACATTTTTCATATGTTTTTTCTTACTGTAAAGTCCTCAACAGTAAGTCCCAAGAAGTCAAGATTATGACCAGTGATAATTAATAATCTATTGTAGCCAACTGTATGGTATCAATATCTGAGGTCAGTCTTACAAGTGCAATGAAGAAACTGACAAAACTGACATGATATTAACCATTGAATTATAAAAATAAAACAAATGTTCACTTATCAACATCTTTAATGATTTTTTTTAAAAGAGGTTAAACAAGTATTAAAAAATGTGCAAACATTAAGTATAATGTTGGGATGTCAATGCCAAAAAGCATCGAAACAAGAAAGGGATGAATACATAAAACCACACAAAAATCACTACATAAATAGCCAAATATTTCCAGTAATAACTTTTATCTGCAACTAAATATTGAATTACTTTCAGTTGAATGAATTTTGGTTTGAATAAAAGCATTTAAACTAAATAATGCTATACAGTAGTTAATAACCATAAGCTTGTAAGATTGACTCAGTACTTACTG